TGAGGGAAGACCAAACCGTCGATATCTGACTTGTCGAAGAAGATTCTTTCTTTGAGTTCGTCGTACCGTTCGTGGGTGATAGATCGCTTGAGTTTGTGTGTAGTGGTGAACTTCACGCTATTGATGAAGGCGTCATCTCCGATGATCATGTTGATGGTACGGGCTGGTGAGAGTGGTTTAGGTGGCCCTTGATGTTCGTACCCTCTGGCGAAATTGTTTCTTTCGTTGTCGCTCAGCAACTCTTTAGGATGTCCTTGACGTAGCATATTCACGACCTCCTGCCTTAGGGCGATGCCGTCTTTCATTTTGTGCCATCGTTCTTGGAGGAACTCATAGAAGGCATTAGACTTTTTGGTATTAGGGTCTGATCTCATCTTCGGCGGACATTTCACTCTTGTCCGAGCTTCTCCATGGCGTAGACTATCTCTATGGGTGACACACAAAAATTATGAGTAGAAAGTAGGGGGCATACCTCGATCGTTCCGATGAGTTACCATCCTGGGTGGTTGGTGTCGTTCCCTATTAGGTCGTGGGATCAGGTGATCTCTTCTGACATTGTCTCTTCGATCCTTTCTTGACTCTGCTTGGACTGAGGTTAGCCGGTGGGTTGGCCCATTGAGGTCGTCCTCATTTACACGGACTTCAACATATAAGCATTGTGGATCTCATCCCAAGTGGTTGGGGGATACTTTATCAACCGACTTAACATATTCCTCGTTGCTCTTGAACCATCCCTGCTCAACCCGCTCTGAAAGGCTGTGACTGCCATCTTTTCAGACACGTTTGGCAAAGTCATTCTTACTCGATTGAACCGAGCGAGGAAGTCCCCCAATCCCTCTCCCAGAGACTGTTTGATGGAAAATATGTCGTTCACCCTGGCCTCGGCCTTTTTGGCTGGCGTGGGCCATTACGAACTTGTCGGCCATTTCTTCAAATATTTCGATAGAGCATGCTGGTGGCTACGAATACCATGTTAATGCTCCTCCAGTGAGGGTTTTGCCAAACTTTTTCAGCAAAATGGAAGACACTTGTTCTTTGGCGAGGTCGTTGCCTTTTACGTCGGTGAGGTAATGAGTCACATATTCTTCGGGGTCGGTTGTACCATCATATATCCTGAGGTAGGACAGCATTTTAAAAGTATTTGGTATAGCATGTGGGGCTGCGTCATCACTGTATGGTTGTTCGACGAACCGGTCGGCGTCTCTCTTTGGCAACAGATTGGGAGCGCCCTGTATTTTATCGACCCTTTCCTGGTGTTCTTTCATTTAATCTCGGAGTGCCTTGTTGTCATTCTCCATTTCCTCCATCCTTTTCAAAATGGTTGCGAGGGCGTTGTCACTTGCACTATTAATGACATTGTCAGTAATACCTGTCATAGGAGGAGGGAGTTGGTTGCACTACTCGTCTACTGGTTATACCATGAAAGTTCTTGTGTTTTTTGTAGTTGGATCCCGGGCGGGCTTGTTGAGGACGCTGGTTAGCATGTCAGTTTAGCCATGCTTCAAGGAGCATTTTTACAGCTAGGGGCGTCTCCTCCCCCATCGATGTGGAGGCTCCCTTACCAAGAGATTTTATGATGCTGGAGTGAGGAGGCGACGACCCATCTCGCCTAGGGGAGGCATTGGGCAATGTGTCTTCGTCAGTCGTTTCACAGCTTTCATTGATGATGTTCATGAGGTTAGTTGGGAGGTCGCTCATTATTCTCATCCTTCCTTCTCGGTTACCTGGCATGTTGGGATTTGTGCATATAAAGAAAGGAGACCTTGTTTTTGCTTTTTTTTTTTGTTTTACGTTAGTGACCCGTGTTGGCTGTAGATCTAGAATAAACTAAAAGCTTAAGTAAGAAATTCTCAGAGACGGCACCAAATTATTTGACAAAAAAAATATATTTTTTGGTTCAAATAATCAAATTTATGTGATAATGGGTTAAACCTAGTTAATAATAATATTTTTAGATGTGGGTTCCAAAAACATGGATAATATGAAATAGATCCGATGGTAGATTGATAGTAGCGTGCGATAATTATTCAAGAAGTATGAGCAATAATGGAGCATTTAATAGCAATAAATAACAGTAAATGGCATTTAAGAAAATAGGAAGAATGATTCACCCAATTATTCTCGGATCTGATGGAAAAGTATGGAATAATATGAACCCGAATCTTGATCAAAAGGTAGTGTTTGTATCTTAATAAGAGAGAGAGAGAGAGAGAGAGAGAGAGAGAGAGAGAGAGAAAATCTTTTATCAGAAATTTGTTCTTATCAAATGAATGTCACATGCCCCATATCATTGTCTTTTTTTCTATTTATATGAGGCATTTTCTTAGTAAATCCTAATAGTACAAGTGCAAAGAATATCCACTAGAATAATCTCTATAATATCCTATTTTAAAAACTAGTCATTACAAACTTATCAACAATACTCGACCTCGACCATTGTTGACATCACGACCATGAATCTCGCCGCTTCCTGGTCGACCTCGACTGACGATGGCTCGAGGGTTTTTTCTTTAGTATTATCTTACCTTAAATATTCTCGGACAGATTTTGACTTATACAGTTTCGAGACGCGGGCCCCAATTAACTTTTTGTGTTGGCTTTTTAATTCTTCGCAAAAATATTAATTTCATTGTTTGAATTAGTTTGTCATAGTTATATTTATAGTATGAAATTATTTTGGCTAGATTCGAGCCGTTGGGAGTTGGATAATCGAGGGAAAGGCCTTCTAGTTAATTGATTTAGCGTGGTTTGAGGTAAGTGACTTTTCTAACCTTGTGGGGGAGGGGGAGGGGAGGGAATTACCCCTTAGTATTTGGTGTTGTTTGTGAAAATTGTGATATGTGAATGCCGTGTACTCAAGGTGACGAGTGTGTACACGAGAAAAATATGGAAATTCTCGATTTTAGCTATGTAGATCCCTTTCATGCCTTAATTAAGTTGCTTTAATATGTTATAGCCATCCTTTTCTTGTCTAAATTCACATGTCTATTTGTCTTATCTCTTACTTGCTAATTACTTTACATGTCTAGTTGAAGTTCGTGTTTCCTCTATCCCGTATTCATTATTTAATTGTTGAATTATTTACTTGAAATTGCTATTCTTGGAATATCTTGTTGTTAAAATTGGTATTGAGTTGCAAAGGCTGTGATTCCTATTGAGGCAACGTGTTAAGTGGTGAAATATCATTCTATTGAGTTATTCTTCTGGTTGTTATTGTTAAGACTTTGTGTGCATTGTAATTGAGTCGTGGGTTCCTTATTATAAAATTTTGTTATTGTTTGGTTTCTCTAGCAAGTTGTAATTTTGGGCACTTGAAGTGTGATTTATGATACGATGTGATATTCATACGCATGTGGTAGTATAAAGTCTGGGGGTTGAAATGCATGCGGTAAGATAAGGTGGAGTTGATACGCTGGCTAGTAGGGAACTACTAGAAGCCATGAGGTGTGATAAGGTAGGCTAAAACACGAGATGCTATTTCAGGAAAAATAATTTTCAAAACTAAATATAAAGGCTCCCGCAGTGATATAAGGAAAGGCTGAGTTATTTTTGTGATTTGGGATTACAAGACAATACCTCGGTAGTGGCCCTTGTTGATCTTTCTCTATTTGCTATATTTGTCTTGGTTGTTTGTTTCCTTAACATGTCAATCTTGGTTTCCTTCCGTGTTGTATTATCTGCCTTGATTATGTGTAGTTAACTTTTGGTAAATTCCTTATTTGTTACGTTTCCATTATTACCATTGTATTGTTATATCTATCGTCTTGTTTCTTATTATTTTCAGTAGGGCCTTGACCTAACCTCGTCACTACTCTACCGAGGTTAGGCTTAGCACTTACTGGGTACCGTTGTGGTGTACTCATGCTACACTTTCGCACATCTTTTGTACAGATCCAAGTACTTCCTATCAGTCCTGGCACTAGTGAGCTGAGTTTGCATTTGGAGACTTCAAGATATGCCTGCCCGCATTTGCAGGCCTCGGAGTCCCCTTCTATCCCTTTTATATTTTTTCTTCTTTGCTAGACACAGTTGTATAGGAATGATTTTGGTATTGTCATAGAGCTTATGACTTGTATTACGTCGGGTTTTGGGCTATTGTATACACATTGAGCTATAGAGATTTCCTTTTAATATATGTTGTTGAGTTTAGAGATTTCCAGTTATTATTTCATTCACTTCCGCATGTTTGTTAGGCTTACCTAGTCTTAGAGACTAGGTGTTGTCACGACATCCTACGGTGGAAAATTGAGATCGTGTCAATTGGATACATTATTTTTGAGTAAATTATGTTCTAATTTGCAATTAGGTTTATTGTTATTGATTAAAATTTTTACTTCATTGTTGTATTTGGGATCTTAACTAGATTTTCTATTATAAATAAATAGTTGTTAGATCTTGAAAAAGAAAACAAGAAATTAATAAATTAAGATAAGCCAAGAAGAAAGAACAAATATGAGATAATTTTCCTACACTTTAATGTTCAACAATTGATTTTTTACTTTTTAACTTTTTGTATTATTGTTATTATAGAGTAATTATAACTGAGTTTACTGTTACAATAAAATTCAATTGTGATTTCCATCTAGATTTATTTCTTTGATTATTTATTTTTGATGTTACTATTATTTTAAGATTATGAATTTCATGTAATTTACTCTTATTAGCAAAAGATTTGAAAAGGAAAAAAATAAATTTAAAAAGAAAGAAAAATACAAATACAAATAAGAAATAAAAATAGTCAATTTAAAAATAAATGTTAAACGCCACATGAATGTTCTTTTTGGCCTAATGTAATAACTAACTTTCACACATTATAAAGAGGGAAGCTACTTGATAGAAAATTCAGGGCTAATAGCAACACATGATTTTAGTATTCAGGGGGTTTTCAGGTAAATCTATAAATTAAGGGTCATTACGTAATATTCCATAATTTATAAATAACGTACTCTGCCGCCAAGTCTTTTCATTTGCAGATCATCTCTTTCCATTGTCTCTGTACATCTCTTTTCATTCTCTCTGTTACAACCTATTCCCTATGGATCGTAGACATAGCTGCGCAGTCTGCAAACAACAGAGAGTCAAATGTAAACCAAATTGCAAATTTCTGAATAATCTTCCGAGGGAAAAATACAAGACGTATGAGAAAATCCATCAAGTGTTCGGTTTTTCCCAATTCGAAATATTTTATGATAAAGTTGATCAAAGGAACAGAGATAGGATGATAGACTCCTATCTCTACCAAGCTAATTCTCGAATTGAGCGTCCAATACTTGGCGTGAATCAAGAAATTGAATCTTTGAAATTTCAACTTGCAAACACAAAAAGGTAATTAGTTCTGACCACTTGCATACATTTATTGATTTTTTTTAAATACGAAAATTGATGAAAGCTTCCAATGTAGGCTAGCTGCAGAAGAGATTCTAGTGAGCGGACTGGGCGTCACACTAGTAGAGGTTATTCTTTCTTGTTTTGGTGAATTTATGGAAAATTTTGAAAATTTTATATACTTGTAGAAAAAGAAAGATGATAATATACTGTTGTGAGTTATTGGTTTTTTCTTTTTCTTATAGTTTCTATCAAAGATTGTCATTCTTTATTTGAATTTTTCTTGTTTAATCCACTAAAAGATTTCGTTAGGGTTTTAGGGTTTCGCTAAAAGTCTACTACAGTATTTGATTTCCGAATTAATTTAGAGAAACGGACTTGAAGAATTACGCATTGGTTTTTGGTTCATAATTTTGGCACTGTAGGAAGAAGTACTGTTGTGGTCTCTTAGTTACTACTTACTACTTCCGGTTCATTTTATTTGATTTTTTTTTTTACCGTTTTTCATACATATTAAGGAATTAATTTTTTAGAATTAATTAATAATAAAATTGACCATATTAATCTTAATTTGTTCATTGGAAATGCAACAAATACTTTTAGACTCTTTACTCCAACGATAACTTTGGAAAAAAGTAATTAATTGGTTCTTGATATTTGAAAAAATCAAATATTATGGACCATAAAACCAATTAAATTGGATCGGAGGGAGCAGTTAGCGTAACAAAGAGACATATGGTAACACCTTGTTCATGTGGTACAAGAAGTTTGATTCCCCTCTAAATTTTTTTTTGTTTTCTTTATTTGATTTGCGTTTTCTTTGGAGACTTAGATTCCAATTTAATGTGTCTCACAACCGAGAAAAATNTTGTATTCTTTTTATTCAAGAAGTTTGACCCCCCTCTAATTTTTTTGTTTTCTTTATTTGATTTGCGTTTTCTTTGGGGACTTAGATTCCAATTTAATGTGTCTCACAACCGAGAAAAATTAGGGGGGTCATTTTGGTTTTGGGTCTGCGACGAATAGGTTCAAGAGATGAGAGAATTAAGGATACCCACCAGAAAGACTAATCCAATCCTTAAGGATGTACCAGAAAATACAACATTTTTGTTACTTGACCAGCCATCAGGAGAAGCAAATACAACGAATACGCTAATTAATAAGATTAATGAAGTAGCAATTAATGCAAAAACGGCCGATTGAAAAGCAAGAGTTGGTTTCCACTTAATTACTCACTTCATATGTTTTCTATTTGTTTACACGTGTATAAGCTATTTGTTTCTTCATGATTGTATTATGTACTTTTAAGCCAAAATAACATTTGATTGTGAAGCTAAACTCACTATGAAGTATGAACAAGAAGTTTGCTCACTGCTGTATAACATTCTTGTCCTAGATATTCTGACATGACAAGCTCAACAGATAGAAAACTGAATGTCCTTAACGTGATTGTATTTCTTATTTTACTCTTCTCCAATTGAGTTAAGGAAATACTAGTAGGTATCAAGACTACTATGCTTAGAGGGACTATATCCTTTTGATTCAATTTCCCTGTTACTTTATTCTTTTCATAACTCAATCATTATAGCGCCAAAAAGTGGGCTGCTTTGAGTTTGGTTGGGATTAGGAAGTAGAAACCTCAAGGACTATTGCTTTTTTCTTTTCATAACTCAATCATTAATATTGCAGTTTTGTAAATATATCATGGTTGCTGGAGTGAAATCAGTAACTCTACATGACGATAGGATGGCCACTCCTGAGCTTCTTCGTATTAATACACTGATCAACCCGGATGATTACAGAGATAAAACAATTTCCCAACTTTGCAAGGATACACTGATGAAGTTCAACTCTACAGTTGCTCTTCATGTACTACAAGGTTAATTTTTTTGTTTTTCCTAGTTTCTTGAGTTTCCTTGTCTGCACTTTCTTATATGGATTACTTTTCAGGAAGTCTATCAAACTTGAATGATGCTGAGTTTCAAGAATTTGATGCTGTTATAATTAGTTCTTGCTCAGAGAAGAGAAGAGTAAGAGAATAAACACGTTATTTTGTAAATTTAACCATTTGCCCATCTAATATGTTTCTTTTGCAGAGTGAATTAAATTTGAGATTACGCCAACTGCCTAAACCTGTAGCATTCTACAGTGTAGAATGTAGGGGATGTCTGGCTGAGATCTTTGTGGATCTGAACAATCAAATCAAGTCTGAGGTCAAGTTCTTCCTCCCCCCTCCCCCCTCCCCCCTAAATATTTAATGTTAGATTTACTAAAGTAATTTATTTTCTTTTTGCAGAGATTATTTGGTGAAACAGTTGATACCATTCTGGAATTCCCTAGTTTTGAGGTGCATTTTACTGGCTTTTCTTATTTTGATAATGTTTTTATTTGCAAGGCCCAAGGTTTAATCTTTTTTTGTTTTTAATTTAATTTGCAGAGAGCAATTGCAGTTCCATGGCAGGAACTACCCCAGGGAATGTCAAAGGTCTATTATGCCATGCGGGGTATGTGTTTCCTACTCGGTTTCATAATACTGGAATGATCTTGTATGTGAACTATAATATTGTTCCCCGTCAGTTGCTGAGAATTTTGAAGCCACAAATGGGCGATTTCCGGGAGAATTGTATGATGGTGATATTGAAAATATTAAGACATTCAAAGATTTGTTCTGTGCTACACAGGTATTATATTATATGCATATATATACAAGTTTGATTTCTTTCTCAGTGTTGTTAACCCTATAGCCAATTAATTGCAGCATTTTACTCCTGATTCAATCCCTGATGCTATTATTGCAAAATTAGTGGGAGGTACTACTTGTGATATCTTTTCCATAGTAGGAGCTATTATGGCACAGGTAACTATGTGAATTTTTGTCTTTTATTAATGCCTCTTGAAGTTCTTTGCTAATGTCTTTTCTCTGCAGGATTTCATACACTATAAATCTGGAGGAAAGCCAATTAAAAATTTCTTCTTGTATGATGGAGGGGCAGCAGAAGGGATGGTAACTGAGATTGGGTGCTGATGAGCTTGTGAAGGACTTATGATTTCCTTAATTCTTTTGGTAATTGCATATAGTTGGATTGCTACCTAAATTCTTTTTTGGATGGTAACTGAGCTTAGGTGCTGATGAGCTTGTGTAGGACTTATGATTTCCTTAATTCTTTTGGTAATTGTATATAGTTGGATTGCTACCTAAATTCTTTTTGGATGGTAACTGCATATGGTAACTGAGCTTAGGTGCTGATGAGCTTGTGAAGGACTTACGAGTTCCTTAATTCTTTTGGTAATTGTATATAGCCGGACACATGTGGTATGCGTGCTGAAATTGTGAGTTTTTAGTACTTGTTATTACAATTTGTTTTGACTTGTTTGAAATTCTTTAGTTACCACTTACTATGCTTAGTACTAGTTTTGAACAATGTTAAATTCATAATTCTGCAAAAGTGGAGTCTGTAACTCTATATATAAGGTTGTTAAACATAAAGCTGCACATAGGTTGGACAAAAAGAATAGCCCTGCGTATAAAACTTGAAAACAACAGCAAATGGTAGTAGAATGGGGAGCAGTGGCGTTTTTAACGTCCAAAATGGATAAAAGAATCACACCTATTTATTGACATACAAAAGAAGAAGTCTCTTGCATAAACCAAAAAGGCAAGAAGAAGGAAAAGGCAAACATTTGTCAGCTGATAATTCATACTAGTACATATATGAGACACGAAGCTGAAGAATGGATAAAGGTGGAAAAAAACCATCGCCTCGTATACAATTCGATACAAATTTTTGCAGTAACATTGGTATGCCTCGCTTTATATATTGACTATTGCTATTTGGTCCATGATTTTCCACATACGCCCTGAGAAAGGATGATTGAGACCATATGGAGCAATAGTCTGTTTTTGATTCCCATTCTTCTGCTGCATTTTGCTTCTGGCAATGTAACCTCTGATCCAAAGAGTGACATCCTCGTTGATTTTGATCATGACAAAGAAGATAGTCCGATAGTTGATTGTCATTGCGAAAGTGACACTTACGCCACCCATTTTGATCTGTTCAGATCAATCTGGAATATCTGCTCTATGAATTCACCTGGGATCTTGGGAAGATCAGGACTCAGAGTTATCAAACACCAACCCAATCAAAATCGTTTTGATATTGCCCCTGCACCATCTGCCATTTTATGAATAATTCAATCCTTAAACATTTACTCACAAATAAGATACCTTGTGCTAAGTTTTCATGGATGTTTACTTGATATTATCTTTTAGGTGACTTGGCAGTGTACTTATTTTTTAGATTGTCAGTATATAGAAGTTAAATGTAACTGTCCAGAAGTGGAAATTGAGGTATGGCATTGTAGAACGCCATATAGACTTTGGAATGTTCAAAATGGGGGGGAAATGGTTCAAGTTGTTATAGTGTGTTGTCAAAATTTTGGATAGAGCCTTTTCAAGATTAGGATTCTATCACCCCAATTGGTTTAGTTAGGAAATTTTTTATATGAGTATGCCCCTATCCCGTAAGCCTTCCATCGTTGCAAGTCCCTTCCATTCGGCCCAAGCTTTCTTTCGATTACGTCTGCTTCTGATTCTGTTATTCCATTAGCCTTAGTTAGTCGTTTAGTCAAAGCCGTACGTATGCCCCTTTCGAATCGTTCTATCATTCGAAGTAGGAGCTGGGGTTGCGGGCAGAGAACTATTGGTATAGCGAGTTCATGTGCTTGCAGTTGGGTTACTACCATCCCCCTAACCATTAGTATCACACTCTGTGAAGTGTCTCTCTGGTATTGGGATAACTTCAAGCCCCTTAGCTCGCTTGTATCGGGGGGAGCTTACTTCACTTGTTTTCTTTAAGTCACTTGCCAGGAGGGAAAGCAGCAGATAAAGAGCACCATCACCTTATTTAACAAAGGGCTTATGCGAAAGAGAGCACCGCATCCCCGAGAAGATAATCCGCTTTCCTAAATTCCCTACTTTATTGCTCTAGCTCTTGACTCATATGACACTGAAATTGAATAGGTTCACACTTAGGCCTGGTTATGGAAACTCTTTAAGCATAGGGAATTTTTCCTTTTCCATAGAAAACTCCAACTTAAACAGGAACTAGCCTGGAACTATATGTAAGGGCACTCTCATCCACTGGCGGNGCGGGTGCAGGGTGGGTCGCGGGTTGGGATTCCAAATCTTAATACTTTTTGTTGAATTTAGTGTTTCCAATTCCCATTTTGCTATGCCAAATATTTTAGAGAAAAATATAATTTTTGGTGACTTCTCAAAGTTAATTGGGACTGCTTTTGAATAGTCAATCACCAATGTAGTAGGAGTAATTTTTTAACATCATTCAAACCAAGAAAGAAGACAACATAATTCTGCATATATCTGTTTAGCACTTCTTAATATTTTGCTTTTCATTCAATCCTTCACAAGCAAATCACTTGACTGGTTCTGCAAATAAGGCCTTAAGGCTTATCGATTACTCCTCTCAAAGGTCACCATATAGAAACCCAAAATTATTAGATATATGAAATGTATGCATACTATAATACAATTCTATTTCTAAATTTCTAATATCACAATATGAAGACTCTCAAACTATTGTAATGTAAGTTTCTCTCTCCAAACTATTGTAATGGAAGTTTATAAACCCCAAATATAATTTTAAAGAACAATAAATGGAAGAGGAAGATTTAGATTGCCAATGACATATATATAAACTAGATAGGAAAGATAGCACGGGCATATGCCCGATATTGTTTGTCTATGTTATTGTAGTTTTTGCCATGACATTTTTTCTATATTATCTGGTTTCTTGTCTATATTATTTGGTTTCTGCGGTGTGATTCTCAAAATAATTATATATCGAACTTTAGTCTTCTCCTCGGCCATCTACTGAATTCATCAACATCTCAAACCCGTTTAACCCGCCATTTTTTCGGGCTATATAATAAAAAATAAGAGGCTATGCGGACCATCAGAGCAGACTCCTACAAAGTTTAAATGCTGATAGCATGCATAACAAACAGTGCATTTGAAATTCATAACTACTATTTTGAAGGCCAACTAAAATAGCTGAACTTTATAAGGTGCCTTTGAAATCCACAACTCTTTCCAAGCCCAACTTGTATTGCAGTCCTCATCCCTATTGAGATCTTGTAGCATGAATAATAGAGTAATGCCTATTTTTTTTTGCTTTTATCATCTTCTCTAATTCATTCAACAGTAGAGCCAACCTCCCAATCAAAGCAATTTCTCCAAAAAGCTAAGCACCAGTACTGAAAGTCTGAAATACCAGTATTGGAAGTGAACTTGTAAAGGTCAGGATATTGAGCCATTAGAAAAGTATGTGCATTGGAAGTTAAAAATGAAATGAAGATTAAGTCACATAACAATACCTTCTTTAGTGGACAAAACAACAACGGGAAACTCCCTTTACATAGTTTTGCAGTTCAACTGCAGCTGAAGTGCCTCATCCCACGTTCATGCGTTTCCAACAACCTCTAGGTCGAGCAAGTGACAATGATAAGAGATAAATCGATATTCATCTGGACAAGAATATTCACTCTGCATACACATGCTGAAATACAATCAGGTTTTGTAACTTATAACTGGGAACAATATTATATTGTCACATCAACAAATGAGGAGGTTTAAGATGCCATGCAACTCATATATAATAATTTTTTGTTGTATCGCAAAAGTGCTAGAAGTATTTTGAAACTACCAACCGAATTCACATAAAGTAGTGGTAAATTGGCTTCAACATAAGCAGAAGAACTAAATGACTTTTATCACACAATTTCTCTCACTTGAACTTCCAAAATGTGAGTTGAAGCCTCTCTACATCACAAAATATTCACAACCCAAACCGAATTCTGTGTACCTGAACTTTCAAAATGTTCATAACCCAATTGATAGAAAAAGAACGATTCGTAAATAAGAAACCTCTTTACATCACAAAATATTAACCATCCACAAAAAAAAAAATGCCGTGGTAGTACTTAGCAATAACATTGAAAAAACTTAAATTAAAACATTCTAGTAATTTCAAGAAATGCACGAAGGAATCCTTGAAAGGCTGATAGTGAATATGACGAATACATTATATTCCACGAATAAAGTAAAATTTGGTGATATTATATATGATAATAAGTAATCAAAATAGAGAAAGTTTTACAATCACTGTAATTGCTAAGTTTTCTTATCAATCATACACAGATCATGTTAAGAGTCAATAATGATGGCACATCGTAGTTTTTACCTTATAAAAAAAAGAGTCAACAATGATAGCACCGAGTGATTGAGGCAAGCCCTCAAACATCTCGGCAGGGTCGGTTTATGTAGATTGAACTCTAGATTGTCTTTCAGTCTTTATTATTTCCCCCTCAATTTGCACAAGTAGGTATATGAATAGGAAGTGTAGACTTTAATATGATTTAGAATAATTGTTGTTATTCATAATACATACTACGCCATCTTTGTTTACCTCCTATTCTCTCCCGTTAACTTACTTAAGAGCATTTCTGTGTGCATTGCTGCCTATATGCAACATCATAACTGAATAGATTGTCCCTTTTTTTCCAATAACGTTCATAATTGAATAGATTGCCTTTAACATTTCATGCCTAAAACAGTGGAGATATTTGGATACATATCAATTATCTCCGCTCATCTGCAGAGAATATTGCCTCTCTCTGGGGAGGGTGGTGATACTAATGTTGTCTCCTCTTGTCGTTTTGTCTTTTTGTTTTCTTGAGCCGAGGGTCTTTCGAAGACAGACTCTTACTCCTTTGGGGTAGGGGTAAGGTCTGCGTACACACTACCCTCCCCAGACCCCATTAGTGGGATTCTACTGGGTTGTTGTTATCGCAGACCTAGAAAGCAACTCAGAGGTTGACCTCATTTCTTTGGAATCTTGAAGCTAAAACCATAATGACAGTTTATTATCTTCTCAAGCGATATATGCACTTGAGTCTTGCATCTGAATTTTGAAAATAAATATCCTATCCTTCATTAACCCCATAAGCATCCCCTTCTATTTATATAATAAAGTGTTCTGAGCAAGAGTCCCTTCCTTCCCTCACCATGTATGTAAAACCTACATCGATCTTCTACTGAATGGAATTACGCACAAAAAGCCCTTTTAGAAAATATATTTTCTGCTTTTCTGCTCACCTCATTGTTAGCTGATGAAATTAGTTTTGTATTGAGTTACTTTTTCCATTTACCTAGTAATAGTGTTGGACTTATAGTTAACTCTAGTTTATGTCCATCCAAGAATAGAACTTCTTGCATTTTATATTATAAAGCGATTTCTTTAACTTTAGTTTTTTATTTGGCTAGTTTAAATCATGATATAAAAATAGACAAAAAGTATAACGACAATGCTACCTACATAAGAAACCAGCTAAAGCTACATACTTATTCCTGATTTTTGGATGTATTGCTTAAATAAGCAGAGACTTGAATTAACTAAACGACATGTCTGTCCCCTGAAAAATCCTTCTATTCCTCCCCAATCGACATTCCACAATATATATGCAAAATGTCAATTACACTTTATAATTCTTGAAGTTTTCAACAGGAAAAGAGTTAAAGGAATTAAATTGGTACCAAATTCTACTTGAGGGGATATATTGTTGTATGGTCTAAGTTGAGATATATGGAGCAGGTTAGCAGAATCGGTTCACTAAGATATAGAACGAGTTCATACCTGTCGGAGATTCATCAGCATGTTGTTTCATGTTGCTCTATTCTGGAAAACCATCTTCAAAATTCAAGGTTGTAAACTCTGATTGCAGCAACGTGATATAATTTTGAGACATTTTTGTACTTGTGTGCAATTCATTCATTATACTCTGCAGAGTTCCCAGTTCAATAATATCATCTCTCATTCTCCTCCCTATTTCAAGCTGCCTTCTGCCCCAATCAAAGAAATCATAACCTGGTAACCTAGCACAAAGAAAAATTATTCTTTCAGGTAAAAATATTTTTTCTCTTACTGTCAGGACTTAGCTCAATATTCATTTACAAACTTTAAATTACAAACATGTCCATTACAAAAAGATCACCATCAAAATGTTATCTTAATTGACAAAGACAGAAGTAGTAATGTACACGGACCAAGCCCCTAAATATATATTTCTGAGCATGTATGTCTAAATCATGTATAAATACTAAAATGCATGTAATGAAGTCCGGTAAAAAAAAGATCTAAAGAATAGAAAAACAAACAAAATCCATAAAACTCTCATAATAAAGGAAATAAGGAACAAAGGAGCAAAACTCAGAGGTATTCACAATACTCCATAGCTTTAAGATGATAATGTATACATCAATTCTATGCTGATTAACTATGAAAGACATTAATTGACAAACCAATTCACATAAGTTAAACAATGCAACAGTCAACCTGTGAAAATACAACAAAAGAGGAAAAATATGATTGTCGCTCACCGGAGAAGGCAAGAATGGTGGATCCTCAAGCGAATGGGGTCTTCTTGTTGTTTACAAGAGTAAGGGCCCAGAACTTTTTAGCCACCATAGTTGTTTAACAGAGAAAACTTGAAGGCCAGACATGGAAAAAACTGATCTAGTTTGAGAGAGAAGATCATAGGTGGAAAAAGGAAAAACACATAGTTTAGATTAAAATAGAGAAAGACAAGGAAAGAGAGAAGAAAAGAAAACAACGATGCACAGAAAAGAGAAGAAAACAGTGGAAGCCAGCTGTCAAACTTATTAAAACGCGTTCATCTAAAGTTGATGTACACGTGGAATAACAAAGAACTACCTAATTACCCCTAAAAGCAAGGTATATCTACTAAATTACCCTTCGTCGTAGAAGATTATCGGAAAAGTTGAAAGCTGAGAAGATAATTCCATACTTGTTTTATCACAACATATTAATGGTTCATTCATGTCTTATACATCAATTGAGCAACAAAATTATTCAACATATCCAAAGATTCTAAAATATGTACCTGCGACAGTTTATTTTTTAGCTTACTTCCATAATACATTCCTCAACTTGCTTCCATGAGAAAACCTAATTACATACTAAAAATTGTAGCTGCAACAAAAGAAGATGCATTCCTCTTGAAAGTTGATCTTTCTATAAACATCCGTTGTTATACGCCTTATTTTTAGAACACTGCTTTGTTGCTCTTTCAGCATTTCGCGCCTCAATTTAAAACGATTTCTTTTTCTCCAGTGCTCTCTAGTATCTAAAAGTTTCAACAATAAAAAATGCCCTGATGTTAGAGGAGCACTTACAGAATACTGTGACAGCTCTCACCAAGAGAATCTCTGAACTGATCTTAACTAATGAAAGAAAGCACCAAAGAACCAATTAATATTGTTTTAGTAAATAAAGATCAAGAATCTTAGCCACTTTCTACAAAAAACAAGCTACTAAATAGAACCTAGAATTTTCATGACCTGCAGGATGAGTTTAGTGAATTCTTTTACGTACTCACTAATGGAAGTTGTTTGCTTGAGCTCTCTCAACTTCCTACGTGCCTCGTTGACAACAACTTGATTCATCAATACAAACAAAATCTACTACTTACCAATTTCAACTGTGATTTCTTAGAGTATTTTACCCAAGAAGCTTAGCTGGTAATGCATAATACAATTTAATCTAGCTAGTGGAAAAGCTTCATCATCATTAGAAGAGAAAAAAGGGAAACAAATCCAGCATAGAAGAACCCGTTAGGACATAAGAAAATTTTCCCTTTTTTCCAAAACATTTTTTCTTTTTTCCGAAATCAGCGTTTGTTCATAAAATTTTCAATTTTCACTTGAAGATGCATTTTACAAAAATTTGAAAAACTCCAAAAATCTGTTTTTCAAAATTCACTCAAATTGCTCACAAAATTTCAAAAACAACCCAAAATTACATTCATGTCCAAACACAACTCTAAATTTCAAATACCATTTTCACTTGAAAAATGTTCACCTTTTTTTAAAATTTTACAATTCTTTTGTCCAAACGCCCACTAAGTCTAGCTTCAGCATGTAAATCAGTCATATTAGCAATCATATTCAATATCTCATAGAACCCATGACAGATCACATATATCATTTGCAAAAGATATCTATGAGACATAGTTGATATCAATACTCTCCTCTAACCAGTCCAAGAATCAATAATAATTCGAACCTGAAGCTTATTTGCCTATCTGGTGATTGGACAATTTTAGAATGTAAATTGGCATTTTCATGAACAGTCTATTATACCAATGCGAAGTCTGCAAGGAAATTTTAGTGGAGGCTCGAAAGCAAATAGTATATTGGTTCAGAACATAAATACTGTTTTTTCCAAACAATTATGGATCCCACATGAGTTTCAAATATAAACATATAATTGCATGTAAACTGCACAAAGGAAATAGTAGAGAAGAAGAAAATCACTAAATTCTCAAATATAACGACAGAGGAACAATACTCTAGCTTGTATCGAGTAATATGATATTGCCAAATTCCTATAGTACAGGACGGACCAAAGAGGCCGGCTGATCACTTATTAACATATGGCAATTTTAGGATTTCTATGAAGCACATAGCTGCAATCCCAGAACCAAATTCTAGCATGATAATTAGTCCACTATAATTAACAGTAAGCAGTCATAGTTGAAGTTGTAAGCTTCTGGTGTAAATCTATCTTATTAAACACATGTTCAACATGTACAGGATGGACCAAAGAGGCCGGCTGATCACTTATTAACATATGGCAATTTTAGGATTTCTATGAAGCACATAGCTGCAATCCCAGAACCAAATTCTAGCATGATAATTAGTCCACTATAATTAACAGTAAGCAGTCATAGTTGAAGTTGTAAGCTTCTGGTGTAAATCTATCTTATTAAACACATGTTCAACATGTACAGGATGGACCAAAGAGGCCGGCTGATCACTTATTAACATATGGCAATTTTAGGATTTCTATGAAGCACATAGCTGCAATCCCAGAACCAAATTCTAGCATGATAATTAGTCCACTATAATTAACAGTAAGCAGTCATAGTTGAAGTTGTAAGCTTCTGGTGTAAATCTATCTTATTAAACACATGTTCAATATGTCCAAAAAGTAAAAAAAAACGACGTACTTAGTAACTTGAAACTAATGAACCTAGCAAAGTTCCTAAGAGAAAGGCAACAACATAACGGGATCTGCCCTATAAGATAGAGTGTATGATTAACACCACAGTATGTTGTATGATTCAAAAATATATTTGTCAACAGTTGTCCGAGGCAGCCAATGCCCAGTGTCAATACATGAAAAGTTCAAAAATTATAAGTCAGGAATATGCTTGTGACCATAACTCCGTAAGTATACTTTATCAAGCAGATTTTCCAATGCCATTCTATTAGAAATTCATGAAACAAACATTACATTACAATGAGCTAAAAGTAACACAACTCAACTTCTCATCCATCTCTTTAGCCCCCTCCTTAATTTTTCTTATCGAGGCTTTCACGACATTTGGTGATTGCTAAGATCAAAAGTTTTTTACCTCAGATAAGGTGCATAATCCCTACAGGTCTTCTCCCATCAATAAACTTTCACTACAATCTCTATCAAGATAGTGTACGTAAGAAATAAAAAATTGGTGCACTATAAGATGTCTAACCATAAGATTCAATTAAAGAAAAATTAATCAATCCAAGGACAAAGGTTAGAATAAAAAATTAATAAATAGAAACACATTAGGAATGCATTAAACCAAAAGTAGTCAAAGGTGGGGTTATAATATCCATGAAGCTTTTCTTGAGAATTTTGGAACAAATTATCTTCTATTTGACTATTCATAGGCACATTTTCTACCTTATTCTTTTTGGTGCTTTTTACTGCTCCAAAAGTTCAAAATTTATTTTTCCAATTATTGAAAATTTCCCACCTTCTAATTACAATAAATATAATATTGTAGTTAGACCTCATTTTGCTTTGTTTTCTGCTTAAATTTTACAAATAACCTGCGGAATATTTGTTTCAAAGAGCAACTTCTATTGATTTAAAGTAATAAAACATTGATTTCAGTTGACATTCTTGTTTTTTTTAATGATTTAATGGAGTAGTGTTTTCTCTTAGAGGGTTCCAAGTTTTGAGTATAATATGTATTGAAGAGACCACCCATGAGCTTATCATTCATACTTTTGAGGAAAGCAAAGGTTGGGTACCAACACACTTACAGAAACCCCACCCAGATACATTTTTTAACAAAAAAATCTATCTAGTATATGTTGTCAAGTTATATTTTCGTGTTACCTGAATGATATTGATAAGTTATTTCTTCACTTCATTTTATTTTTTCCTTTAAAAGTGCCAAAATTTCAAGTAGATATTGTGATGAGCTTAGTCATTATCAATATAAACATAATGATTATTGGTTCCAACATTTAGCTGATGAAGTTAAACAGTGACACATAGGGAGAAAGAAGTGCAAAATAAATTAGAACATATACTCTCTAACATCGAGTTTTTGACCAATATTGTCCCTTATCTTTGAGGATAGATCTATTTTGGTCCCTCAAATATAACCCTGAGCATATTTAGTCCCTTAAGTACGCTAAAGCGGAGCACCTTTAGTCTCAGTGACACAATATGTTCAAAAACTAACGATGTTACCCAACTCTGATTCATGAAGCAAATTTTCTGCTATGAAGCAAAACGTTTCCTCTCCTTTTATTGGATAACGCAAATTATCACTTTAATTCCTCATTTTTAGATAATGTCTTCTAAAATTTTGACCTTGAAAATATCCCCTTCTGTGCCAGTTTTCAATGAGAAAATGACATTGTATAGCCGCTGTAAAACTAATAGCCGAAAAATGTATAAAATTTGTATATTGTTTTGTAAATATATACATTTAAAAATTTCGGTTGATTTTTCCAAAAAGAAAAGTTAAAATTTGAAAAGAAATAGAGCTGCCATGATCACTTCTAGGCATATTATTGAACCAAACGAATAACCAGATTGTATTATCACTTTTAGCTCGTGCCAGAAACTATTTACATTTGATAGCGGAAAAAGTATTTAAAATTTGTATAATTTTTGTATATTAAATACTTTTTCCACTACCAGATGTAAATAGTTTCTGGCATGAGCTAAAAGTGATAATACAACCTGGTTATTCGTTTGCTTCAATAATATGCCTAGAAGTGATCCTGGCAGCTCTATTTTTTTCAAATTTTAACTTTTGCTTTATGGAAAAATCAACCGAAATTTTTAAATGTATATATTTACAAAACAATATACAAATTTTATATATTTTTCGGCTATTAGTTTTACAACGGCTATACAATGTCATTTTCTCGTTGAAAACTGCAGAAATGGGATATTTTCAAGGTCAAAATTTTAGAAGACATTATCTAAAAATGAGGAATTAAAGTGATAATTTGCGTTATCCAATAAAAGGAGAGAACGCGTTGCTTCAGAGCAGAAGATTTGCTTCATGAATCAGAGTTGGGTAACACCGTTAGTTTTTGAACACATTGTGTCAGTGAGACTAAAGGTGCTCCACTTTAGCATACTTGAGGGACTAAATATGCTCAGGGCTATATTTGAGGGACCAAAATAGACTTACCCTCAAAGATAAGGGGCAATATTGGCCAAAAACTCCTCTAACATCAAACGGACATAACAATAATCTAATGGTACAAGGAAGCAATAGAAGTGCCTCACCTAAGTCTGCTCTGTAGGGCGATTTAGAAGTAAACGCAGTTAACATATCAAGAAACCCTCAGGGGTTGGCCTGGTGGCAATTGACTTGAGCCTTGGGGTTTGCTCCCTTTCAAGGTCTCAAGTTCGAAACCCACTGGGTGCAAACAATTTCTGAGGGCCATCGGACTGGGTAAAACCTGAATTAACCGTGGTGCACTTGCGGGAAACTCCTTGCCGAGGGCCTGTGCACCCCCGGGATTAGTCGGGGCTCAAAGAGACTCGGACACCCGGTGCAAAATCAAAAAAAAAAACATATCAAGAAGAGAAATTGATTTTTACTTATAGTTCATCTTTTCTCAAAGAAGCACAAATGCAACCATAAAAGCTGGACAAAGGCAAAAAATTACAGAGACATGCAACTGAGAAACCAAGAAGCAACGAAAACATTACTATAACCTGAGGAAGATGCACAAATGGGAAGAGGAGATAAACATTAATTTTAATATTATTAAAGGCACTATTATGTCAGGAAATAAAAAACATTTAGTTCTAAACTTAAATGTACTTCATGTTCAATACTTTTTCTTTTCATGTACAAATTATTGTCTTTGCTCAATGCTTCAAAACAAATTGTTTTCTGGTGATAACACTTATCATGAAATCCAAATTCATTTTGTAAAATGAAAATCTCGAATGGACAGATATAGTACAACCGTAAGAAAATAAAAACCAAACTTAAACTTCAAAAGGAAGCAAAATCTAGAAGTTTAACAAAAATTTATTTCTTTCAAGAAATTTATCGAACACCTATAGTACAAATAATTTTACCTAAGGAGTTAATATACCCAATTCTTGACCAACAAAGTGTTGCATGCAGAAGAAATGGAGTGAATCACACTCAAGCTTCAAGTGACATCATCCAGTAATATACTCTACACAAACCAAATCAGATACACAGGTAGAGAATCCAGCAAAGACATCTAAGTATAGGAGAAAAGCAATACAAACTCATTGAAGTCCCATGATCGGAAAACAGATGCAAGGAAAAAACAGAAGAGGAAGCTAATAAAGCTAGCAGAATCAACTGGATAGTATTTCTTACCACAGAAGGTTGGCCCTTTGAAAATTCACAGCTTTGTCAGTGCTAGTGAACTTTTGAGGTGGAAATTATTGCATCAGAAATAGCGGAAGAAATGAGGGCATAAATAACTGCAGTAACAAAACCCTGAAAGCCAAACACAAGTAAAATAGATTTTTTGAGCACAAAATTAAACAGATAGCATACCAAAGGAAGATTAAAGCTAAAGTAAGTGATTATAAACTTAGACTGTTTTTCCCATCCAAATAGCCATTCATTGGTACAACAAAAGATGGAAGGAGAAATATTTAATGATCCATAAAATAAAATAAAAGAGAAAGAGAAGAAAACCAGCAAGACTGCAAGAGATGAACAGAAAACCAACGAAGTAGGAGGAGGAGATGAACAAGAAGATGACCGGAAAAGAGAGAGGCTGAAGAAGGAAGGCAAATGGTTATGGGACTCAAAAAATCATAGAGAAAGAGAAAGTGGAATCCAGATGTCCCACATTAATATTATTTTCAAAACACGTGGCATCAACATAAATGTGTTGAATAGAAATCAATATATGATAACACCCTTAAAAAACCAAAATATTCCTGAATGGCCCTTCGTCGTACTACCAAAGCTTCATTTATTATATAGTTAATTATTAATACTATTAATAATTAATAATNCGGGTGGACGCGGTTCAAAATACTATGGTTGACGGGACGGGCGGGTTAAAGTATTTACGGGTTAAGGCAAAACTCGTACCGCAATCATCCCGCACCGCTCCATTACCATCCCAGAATACAAGGTGCAAACCTTCATTCATATCTTCACTCCAATTGACACGAATGTCACAAAATATAAAGACGAAAGATGCACATGCACCTCGTTTCATAGCAGTTGAACATATAGAAAAAATTTCATTTATTACAAAGGAACAAGTTAAAATCTATCAACTTTGTGTCTGTGTTGTTTCCTTTTTTTATTTAACTTACATACCCTAAAACTACTTTAACATGTTAGTAAAAGGAGTAATATTTTTCCAGGTTATGCACGATAAGTTGTAATTATCTTTTAGGTGGCTTGATAATTCTTTAAATAGTGAATGTATCGTAGATGAACTCTTAATTACCTTGATAAACTCTTAATTACCTTTTCTTTCACCGAGAAGGGTAGTACTAGGATGGAACTATAACCGGTGCCCACATTAAGATAGACAGTTCCAATGCAGATATTAAGAGCGGCAAGTGGGTCGGTCCGGGCCCGGAACCGGCTCAGGCCCGCGGGTTAACTGGGTTAAGTGGATTGGGATCGTTAGGACCGCTAGATGTGGGCTCGTGCCGGTCTCGTGGGTCGGTTCTTAGCTAGGAACCGTTAGGACCGGGCATGTTTGGCCCGCCAAGAGACCGAGACCGGACCGGTACCTTGATGGGCCAAGCGGGCCCAATGGTTATTTAAAAAAAACAGTCGTTTGGATTTTGAAAAAAAGAGCTATTGGGGTTTTAAAAATAGTCATTTAACCCCCCAACTTAGTTTTGTCACGACCCAATTTCTCTTATAGGTCGTGATGACGCCCAACGTTACCACTAGGCAAGCCAACCTTAAGCTAACTCCGTGATCTTTCTTTTAACGGTTTAAAATAATTGATTTTTAATTTATGCACAAATAAGAAATGAAAGTTTTATAAAAATGAGAGATCAAAATTTTTAAAATAAGTGAGATAAGATAAATAACCCAAAAACATCAAGTGCCTACTAACATAAATTTTCAAGACCTGGTATCACAAGTGTATGAGCTACTATTAGAATATACAAAAGAGTACTACACTACTGTCTGAAATAAAATAGACAAAAAATAAAGCAAAAGGAAGACTTCGGCTGCTGCAGAACGGGCTCGGAAGACAGCTCACCGCAAAAGTCTCGCATTAGTAATCAAGTGTGCGCGCCAGACTAATATCCAGAAGCACCAACCTTAGTCCCTGCACATTAAGTGCAGAAGTGTAGCGTGAGTACATAAACAACATGTATCCAGTAAGTATCTAGTCTAACCTCGAAGAAGTAATGACGATGGGTCGACTTTGACACTTACTATGGGCCAACAATAAAGAACGTATAAAAAACTAATTAAACATGGAATATATAAATGATAATAGAACTCAGAAGCAAGAATTTAAATAGACAATCATTTCACCGATAGCAATGACCAAATCAAGTTCTCTCCTTTAATCTTTTAACCTTTCAAACCAATGAAGCAATATCAAACATATTGGAATTTCCAGTATCATTTCGCACGATTTATGCCAAGGTACGACCCGATACAAATACATATAAATATACTGTGTGCACTGTCGAGTGTCGAACGACGCGAACCATAGATGCATCTATTAACCTGCCGAGGCGAACGACCCGCTCCCATGAGAGTAGTGGGAATTTACCCTGCTCGCAGAATATACTTGCGATGCGGTTGAACATAGATTTCTCAAGTTATCCCTCAATTCTTTCCAAAACAAGAAAATTCAGCTAGAAACTTTAAAAATCATTGAAATCCTCAATCTCAACTCTATCCGAGGCAACTAGTAAGCATAATCAAATAACGATGTCAACAAAGCATGGTGTAAACCTAAAACTACCCGACATACGTAAAATTAGTAGTTACGTACGGACTCTCATCACCTCGTGCGCACGTAGTCCCCCACAAATAAAAGCACATATTAATTAAATTCACCTATGGGGTTAAATCCCTCTTACAAGGTTAGAAAATAGACTTACCTCGTCTTAAGGCCTACTTTTCGGTCGAAGATTGTGTTCAAACCCTCAATTCGGTGCCGAATAATCCAAAACTAGTCAAATAGTTTAATAATAAATCAATACATGTTCAAAAGTTTATATTCCAACTATTAAAGGGATTACCCAACCCCAGATGTAGGATTCCTAAAATTTACCCCCGGGCCCACGTGCCTGGATTCTAAAATTTTTTGAAAAAAGTTGTTACCCATAATCTCACAAACTCAAATATATGATTTTTACTAAATTCTATAACTAATTTCGTGGTAAAATCTCTTCTTTTTTTTTTTTATCAAAAACCTAGGTTTTCACCTAAACCCATAATTTCCACTAATTTACATGTTATAATCTACCCACAAGATATGTATTTAACTCACATTTGATAGGAATTACTTAACTCAATTAGTTGATGAAAATCTCTCTCTAACTAACTCCAAAATCTCCCCAAGAAGTGTAAGGAGTAAGCAAAAATGCCTAAGTCCCGTATTTAAAACAACCTCACTGCCTAGCGTTTCCCGTGCCTGCAAGGCCACTGCCGCACCTGCGGTTTCGCTTCTGCGGAGAAAATCTCGCAGGTGCGGTCCTCCCCCAGCTGGCCAACATTCGCATCTGCGGAGCTGGGGCCGCTCATGCGACCTATCACTCGCGCTTGCGGACACTGCTGATTCTGCGGTCACAGTCATCGCACATACGCGTTCGCATGTGCGCTAAATTTCTCGCTCCTGTGGATCCTAGGCAGCCTTCGATTGTCCGCTTTTGCGGCTCGTGGCTCGCACCCGCGGCTGGACAAGTGCAGGTGCGATTACACCAGCAGCTGGGAACTTCAGTTGTTGCTCCCAAGTCCCAACTTGGTCCGAGCCTCATCCGATTGACACCTGGGGTCCCCGAGCCCCCCGTTCGAACGTACCAACAAGTTTGAATCATAAAAGGGACTCGTTCGAACTCACGGAATGCACAAAACAACATTAAAACTAAGGATCACACCCCAAACCAATTGAATCAAAAATATGAACTTCAAGTTCTTAAATTTTCTCCCAACGCGCTAAAACGTACTTAAACTACTCGGAATGACACCAAATTTTGCGTGCAAGTCTTAAATCACCATATAGAACTATTCTAGGTCTAGGAATCCCATTTGGACCTCGATATCACCAAAACCTATTCCAAACCAAATTTAAAGAACTTCAAAACCTTCAAAGAACCAACTTTCACTATTAGGTGCCGAAACGCTCCCGGGTCATCCAAAACTCGATCTGAACATATGCCCAAGTCCGAAATCATCACACGAACCTATTGAAACTGTCAAATCCAAATTCCGAGGTCGTTTGCTCAAAATATTGACCGGAGTCAAACTTAGCCTTTGTCACGACCCAAATTCCCGCCACAAGCGTCGTGATGGCACCTAGTCTCTAATACTAGCTAAGCCGATTTCAATAAAAAAAATTGAAGCCATTTTGTTTTCTTATTTATTTAAATAAGCAACCAAAACTAACAGCAGAACGAATAAGAATATACAACCTCCCAAGACTGGTAGTACTAAGTCACGAACTCTAGCTGAATATATGGAATATTGGAATGATCACGAGGACCAAATATACAATACTGTTTAATTAAAAATTAACAGTACAATGAAATGAACAGACTCCAAGGGACTGCGACGACCAAGCAGCTCTACCTTAAATCCTTGCGATCACACTCTAACTCTGTCCGGGTCCGATACCTCCAATACCTGGCTCTGCACAAAAATGTGCAGGAGTGTATTATGAGTATACCACGGTCGGTACTCAGTAAGTATCAAGACTAACCTCAGTGGAGTAGAGACGAGGTGTAGTCGAGACACTCACTAGTATGATAGCCTATGCAATATAGTATACAAAATAATACTGGAAAATAACTAGCAATGAGAACAACAAAATCAACTAGTGATATAACAACAATATAACAAGAACATCATAATTATTGCTCAGACGAATAAGGAACACAAGTACAACCAATTAATCAAGTCCTTCAAATATAAATTCTTTCGCCTATATGTTTTTCAAATAATAATCTTCAGGATATAATACTTTCCAATAAATATATTTTCAAGTAAAAGTCACCAAGTGATACCTCATTTCACTATTATAAAAATTATGGGTCTCAGCCCACTTTCATATTTTTTCACGGCACCTCGTGCCCATATTTCTATCACCATCACACGGACAACTCACGTGTTAAAATATCAATGTATATAGGATCCGCAGGATCAATTTATTTTCACTAAAGTAAGGTTAAAATCTTTAAATTAAGTAAGAAATCAACAAAGGAATGAATTTATTTTAGAAATTATTTGGGTAAAGAAAATGACATTTCAATTAAAATGAAGCATCCGATGACTACTAATTTGGATTTAAAATTTATTAAATTAAAATATAATAGCAATTTATTTTATTCGAAACAACTCAATTCTCGAAAACCAGTAAAAACCATAAACACAAATCTACAAAGTCTTGTACAAAGAGCCAAAACCAACACAATACAACAAGGAATCAAAATACATAATAAAATCAAATAATACATCACGGGAGAATACAAGAATTTACATATCACGAAAAAATAAAATAACCAAAGGCAAGTGCACCCATAGAAAAAATATCAACAAAAGGGCACTCCCGAGGTACCGCCTCATAGTCCCAAAAGTAAATATGCAAGACAGG